CAGGCACCCCCAGGGCCAACGCCGGCATACCCAGAGGTGTGGCAGCTGCCGGGGGTCAGGGTTTCTGGCAGGGCACACTGCTGCAGACCCTCAGCCACACACTGCCAGAGAAGTATGCCCAGGGGGGTTTGCAACGGCAGTATTGCTGGTAGCGTCCCCGTCTGCACACTCCACCCAGCGTCACTGGGGAAAGGCCATACAGCCCATGCGAAGGCTCACAAACGGGTGGGGAAGGGAAGGACATATAGGCGGGTGGGAATGTGGGTGGGCTGGAAGGAAGATGTGAGTGGGGGGTCCTAGGAAGACAGAGGGCCTCGAGGCACTCTTTGCCTGGGGCCCTCCTCAACCTGGAACTGGCCTCGTGTCTGACTTTGGCACACCCAGCCCACGTAAAGATAGAAGATGCACAAAAACAAAATGTATGGAAGTGACTTCATCCAGCTTCACAATCCAGGACTGGGAGAACCCTGAATCACATCTGCTCCGATGATCTTTGTCCAGCCACTGCTTAAAGACTTTGGATGATACCTTTTTAAAACTGTATCACAATTTAGTGATGGATGATGTCAGGGCTATTTTTGGGCAGGAACGCACAGGAACGGAGTTCCGGCTGGCTCCCGAGTTGGCCACGCCCAGCAGGAACTCATTAGCAATATAGGCCACACCCAACAGCAGAAACTCATTAGGATTGGCTACAGTAGGGGTGTGTGGCCTAACATGCAAAGAAGTCCCTGCTCCAAAAAAAGGACCTGGGTTTTGACAACAAACAAGGTAAACAGAATAACAAGCAAAAGGTGGGTGTGGCTGGATGACCACACTTCTGGCAACACAGGGGTGTGGCCTAATATGCTAATGAGCTGTGTTGTCAGGGGTGTTGCCTAATATGCTAATGAGTTTCGGCTGTTGGGTGTGGCCATTTATGCTAATGAGTTCCTGCTGGGCCTTTTCTACAAAAAGAGCCCTGGATGATGTCATTCTACAGGCCTCAACTACCTTCCTATGAAGATAGACTCAGGCGGGCAGCCGTGTTCGTCTGAAGCAATAGAACGACATTTTGTGCAGGCACACAGGAAGCTCATGCCCAGAATTAAACTGTGTTGGTCTTAAAGGTGCCGACTGGACTCAGACTTTGTTCTACCTTCTTACGGTCTTTGTTAGTTAAATTTCTGAGCTGGCAATGGTTGCAGTGGTGGTCAGTGGAGAGGCTCTTGTGTAGGGTGAACCTTGATATGAGAACACGGGTGTTACAGATGCATGCTTGGATTCACTGGAAGCTCATTGGAAGTCTTTTGCTACTTACTCCCGCATCTGGATGGCCTTGCAGAGGTTCCCAGACTCAAATTTGGAGAAGAATTTCAGGCACTCTGGAGCATCACAGCTTAAAGAGACAGAAAACAAGGGGCAAGCAGATTATTAAGGGCCTCTGTCAGAAGGAGACAGCTCCAGCTACCCACTTGGAAAATAAACAGAAGGAGAGCCAGTTTGGTGTAGTGGCTAAGTGCGCGAACTCTAATCTGGGAGAACCGGGTTTGATTCCCCACTCCTCCACTTGCACCTGCTGGTGTGACCTTGGGTCAGTCACAAGCTCTGGCACAGCTGTCCTTGAAAAAGAGCAGTTTATGTCAGAGCTCTCTCAGCCCCACCCACCTCACAGGGTGTCTGTTGTGGGGAGGGGGAGGGAAAGTAGTTTGTAAGCCGCTCTGAGACTCCAAGTGAAGGGCGGGGTATAGATCCAATCTCTTCTTCTTCTTCTTCTAAATGCTTGGTGCTTCTTGTAGACTGATTGTAAAAGTCTCCTTCTCCAGTGCAACATAGCTGGAAGATGCAAGGCCCAAGCTTCCTTTGCTAAGCAGGAGACATCACTGCAAGGTACCACCTAGTAGGGCCTCTTAAGAATATGACAAAGTCCTCATGGGTGCTGAGCAACGACACAAAGACTTTGCACCAGATGTTCGATGGTGGTGTTGTGTTTCCCAGACTCACACATGCTCTTGTCTCCTTGTAACCAGGGCACAGTGGACAGAACCGTCTTCAGCCTTCTCCCCCACACTGTTTCTTCCCCCTTTGTGCCACTTTGTGGAGCCGTTATTGGCTCGAGGGTTGCCATGGCCTACCTGGCTGGTGGTGGTGGGGCTCCAGGGTCTCTCCCAGAATCTTCTCTCACGTGCGCCACGATGACGTCACCCAGATATGATGTCATCATGTTGCCAATGTCGAGGTGACACTCTCGTTTTGGGGCAAAACTCTATGGTTTGAGCCCAATTTTACCATAGATTTTTGCCCATGTGAGTTTTGGCGATGTGATGATGTCACTTCTGGGTGACATCATTATGTTGCGTTCAGGGGCATTTCCAGGCGGGTTGTCCCCCCCCCCCGACGAACTGGCTGGTAGCAGAAAGGGGCCTGCAAAAGTGGGGGGACCCCCACCCGGACCGGGGACCTGGCAACCCTAATTGGCTCTGTTGCAAAACTTGAGCACACACACGTTAATGGGCACAATTTCACAGACAGAGCTGATAGAAGGGCACTTTAAGGAGGAGAAAACAGCCAGAGCTTCTGCCCACACAACCTGATCATGACGTGTGACTCCAGAAGACACAGAACTCCCGTTGAACATCTGCTTTAGAAGTACTTTCCTCATTGCTCAACAAACACAAGGACTTTATAATGCACAAAGAGACCCTCACGTAAGCAGAGGCAATGCAGATGCACCAACAATCTCACGTAGACTGTTTGGGCTGCCGCAGGTCTGCTCTGGATGGCAGTGCAGGTGCTTTACAGACTCTGACCAGTGGTCCTGAACAGTGTTCCCTCTAAGCTGAGTTAGGGTGAGTTGACTCACAGTTTTTTAGCCTCCAGCTCACAGATTTTTGTCTTAGCTCAGGAAGGAATGCTCCAGAGCAAAGTAAATTATACATTAGCCAAATCGCTTGCTCACAACTGTAATGCCAGTAGCTCACAAAGTGGCATTTTTGCTCACAAGGCCACACAGTTTAGAGGGAACATTGGTCCTGAATCTCACTGAGCCTGCAGAGACTTGTGTAAGTGAGTGAGAGAGATAGGGTGTGTATCTATGATTCCTCTTTGGATAGTTAAGCTTCCTACTGTAACTGTTTTAATTACTGTGATACTCGAGATTACTGCTCCGAACGTTTATCACTTTGCCCTATTATTATCACTATATACAATGTTACAAATCGCTGTACTCTTGATCGTTTCTCTTTGTTGGCATATGGGCTGATTTGCACTGTTATCTTTTCTTTTTAAAGTTATTGTTATGCCAATAAAGATAATTGGGATTGGAATTGGACTGGTAGAATTTTGAGGATGGGTGCCACCACAAAATGGCTGCCATGGAGGACCAGGCCAATCACAAAATGGCTGTCATGGGCGCTTGGGCCAATCAGGCTACTAACACGCAGTCCCTAGTGTCCAATTTGTTTTGGAAAATCCCAGCAGGAAACAAAGTGGCATACAATGGCAGATGTACAACGGGTGGTACTTATGCTGTTAGCTTGGCAGCACAAGGGCACTGCTGTGCACTGTTTGATGCTCACACCTGTGCTCCCCACTACATCACTCTGGACTAGTACCTTGGACCATCTAAGTTAAAGATGACTCGATCTATTGTATCATCGGGCTGGATGATGCGGCGGATGTCTTCAAATATTTTGGCCCTGCAAAGAGGAAAAGGAGGCCTGAGCTGGTTTATGGACTTCGGCAACACACAGAAGGAAAATGCTTGTCCCGCACCCAATGCTTTTACAAGGTTCCCTTTCTGCCCTTGCACCCTTGATTCTATAAAACCTTCACAATAACCAAATTCTTTTTCTCCAAATGTCATTAATGCTAGACGAGAAGGTTGCATTGCAGAAGGCGTGCATTCTGTCCAGCTTATTTGCATTAAAGACTGATCGAAAGGCAAACTTATTTATGAATGTATTTCACTTACAACCCTGCTTTCTCCTCAGTGGTGAACCACAGTGGCTTTCATCATTCTCCTCTCTCCCATTTTATTCTTACAACAACCCTGTGAGGTAGGTGAGGCTCGGGGAGAGAGAGTGACCGGCCCAAGGTAATAAGAACCTAAGAAGAGCCCTGATGGATCAGTCCAGCCTCCTTTCTCACCCACTGACCAATCAGTTACTCTGGAGGGCCAACAGCAGGGCAAAGAGGCTGAGGCCTTCCCCTGATGTTGCCTTCTGGCACAAATATTCAGAGGTTTACTGCCTCTGAATGTGGAGGTTCCCTTTAGTCTCCATGGCTAGTGGCCGCTGATAGACCTATAATCCATGCAAGTTTCCCAGGTAGTGCAAGGATTCAAACCCCGGTCTCCCAGATCCTAGTCTGACACTCTAACCAGTGCACCACAGAGACACTAATTTAAGCCTCATGGGAGAATACGACCTGGGTTGTTGTTAGATCCACTTGGTCAGTTGTGTTGGTCTGAAGCAGTACAACAAATTTAGAGTCCAGTCGGCACCTTTAAGACCAGCAAAGGTTTATTCATGGTATGAGCTCTCATGTGCACGCACACTTAGTCAAATACGTAGAATGGCAAAAAAAAAGGTTCAGACTTATAGCTTATGACTCTAAATTTACTGTACTGGTAGTTGATGTTGTTAATAATAAGCGGTAAGATTCAAGCGGTGGCACAGTGGGTATATCCCACTGTCTTAACATCCAAACTGTGTTAGTTCGAGCCCCGCGCTGGTGTGAGCAGCCAGCCTGTTGTCCCCAGCTCATCGTCCACCCAGCGATTCGAAAGCTTCGGCAAGTAGATAAAATGGGAACCACTCCTTAGAGAGGGTGGGCACACCGATCTCCCTTGTGGGAGGGTGTTAGCTGACGGTCGGGACATCCTGGTCGAGGTTCGGAAAAGGCAGAAGAACTTCTCGGCTACAAAAAATCCCTGCAGTGGATGTTACAAGCAGCCATTCGGAAAATGACTGAGCCAAGCCAGAAGATGTTTGCGCCGTGCAGTGACAGTGTGTGCAATTAAAATGAATATATGTTGTCTTCCCTATCCCCTATGAACATTGTTAGTCCCCTGTCTAAAATGTGTAACTGTACATCGCTTTGAGCCCACTGGGGAAAGCGATTAATAAATTGAAAGTATAAAAAATAATAATAATAATCAAGTGGGCTCAGAGTGGGGTACAACATTTTACATCAAGAAAAATAAAAACAGTCCATTAATCTAAAGTATACAAATAAAATACAGAAATCTTAACACAATAGATGGTATACAAAAAGCATAAAACCTATATGGCGTCGCAGTACAAATCTGACCCCCAATGACAGGGAGGAGAAGAGTGAGAGGCTACTAACTGGCCGAACCACTGCTGTCCTTAACCACATGCTTGGTGGAACATCTCTGCCTTACAGGCCCTGTGGAACTCGGTGACCAACTTCCTTTCCCTGCCAGCTCGGTTCTCTTGCAATGCACTTGCCTGTAGGACTGAGCAATGGAAGCAAACGGATGAGGATCCACGGAGCAGACAGAATAATAATGGGCCCAGTGACCAAAACGCTTCACATGTTACCTTGTAAGTGTCCGATCCCTCACAGCTATAAGTCCAATACACGTTTACGCAAAGTAGTATTTTATTAAAGCCATGTTAGAGCAGGAACAAGTGCACTGTTGAGAGTACCTGAGACGGGCTTAGCAGGGGATAATGAATGACATTCAAACCGTTAATAACCAATAGACTTGGTTCCCGCCGCGCGGGCAGACTTTCGTATTCGCGCCCAAAAGCCTGAGAAGCAACGTTTCTATAAAGATAAACAATTAAAGCTTCACACGGTCCAGCTCATTATAGTCTAAGCAAAGCGGCTCCTTCTCCACACCTGTTAATCTTGCAGATAAGCGTACACTAGCGTCCATAGAATGGAATGCATGAGACAGGGATACACACAGGGCACACAAGAGGCATGCGCAAATGCCAGAGGAGAGGGGGGGGTTTCTATCCACAGACTTCAATGGCAGCTAGCTGACAGTAAGCAGTGTTCCCTCTAAGCTGAGTTAATGTGAGCTAGCTCACAGTTTTTTAGCCTCCGGCTCACACATTTTTGTCTTAGCTCAGGGAAGATGGCTCCAGAGCCAACTAATTTATGCAGTAGCCAAATCGCTGGCTCACAGCTTTAATGCCAGTAGCTCATAAAGCAGAATAATTGCTCCACAGCTTGGTGGGAAACATTGCTTGTAAGCCTTACGATGTCCCTGTAAGGTAGGCTAGAAATTCTAGCCAAGGAATACAGGGCAGAGATCAGGCTTGAAAGGAGGTTCTCCCAGATCACAGCTCATCCTACCGGTTTGTGGAGGAGAGGTCCAGCAGTGGCCACTAGCCATGATGACTACAGCCAGGGGTCATTTTGTAGAAAAAGAGGTGCAGGAGCTCATTAGCATAACTCATTAGCACAGCTTATTTGCATATGCCACACCCCCTGGCATCACCGAAAGTGTGTCAGAAGGCAACACCCACCACTCAGGCTCCACTGGACTGTTTTGGATTGGTAGGTATTGCCGGAGGGGGGGGAACGTGCAGATCTGCCCTCACAGAGGAGGGAGAGCTTGTACCTGAAGGTGGGCTGGGGGGGGGCTCTGCAACTTACCTGGCTGCTCCTTGCTCCTCGTGGCCTGACTGAAGGCTGCTGGGAGCAGGGGGCAGGGCTTGTTGCATGTGCCCGCCCCCTGGGCTCCTTACTGCCGGAGCTCCGCTCCTGTGCGCTCCCGCAGGAAATGACCCATGACTACAGCAAACCTCTGCATATCAGTGCTGTGAGGCAACACAGGGGAAGGCTTTGGCCTCTGTTCCCTGTGTGAGGCCCTCCAGGGTAACTGGTTGGCCACCGTGTGAAACAGGTTGCTGGACAAGATGGGTCACTGATCTGATCCAGCAACAGGGTTACCAGTTGCCCACCTGTGGCGGGCACGTCCCTGCCCCCAGACTCCACTGCCCATGCTCGCTCAGCCAAGCAACAGAAGAAAAAATGGAGGGGAGGACGTTGTGGATGCTGTAAAGTCACATCCGGCGGACAGTCTGCAACACTCTAGGAATTTCCTCTAATCAATACTGTCTGGGGGAATTCCCAGAGGGGGCGGCATCAGGGCTATTTTTGGGCAGGAACGCACAGGAACGGAGTTCCGGCTGGCTCCCGAGTTGGCCACGCCCAGCAGGGACTCATTAGCATAATAGGCCACACCCAACAGCAGAAACTTATTAGGATTGGCTACATTCGGGGTGTGTGGCCTAACAGGCAAAGGAGTTCCTGTTACAAAAAGAGCCCCTGGGTTTTGACAACAAACAAGGTAAACAGAATAAGAAGCAAAAGGTGGGTGTGGCTGGATGACCACCCTTCTGGTAACATGGGGGTGCGGCCTAATGTGCTAATGAGCTGTGCTGTCAGGGGTGTGGCCCAGTATGCTAATGAGTTCCTGCTGTTGGGTGTGGCCTATTATGCTAATGAGTTCCTGCTGGGCTTTTTCTAAAAAAAGAGCCCTGGGCGGCATGATGCTCCACCCCCACCCCCAGAAGAAAACTCCCCGGGGTTTGCCAGCCCAGGGCTGCAACCCTACCCAGCAGGGCTCTTCTTCAGGTTCTTGATCAAGGATGCAGGGAGATGAGCCAGCACGAAACATTCTGTGGTTCTCCCCCCCTCTGTTTGTAAAGGGGGGGGGAGTCATGCAGACTTACTTTGGGATGCTGATCCTCCTCTGGTGTATAGACTGACTATAGGGAAGAGTTTGGTGACCCCAGAAATCTGGAAATGCCAGCACTCTGAAGTCTGGAATGGATTTGGTGCATCCCGCCTTTGCCATGTAGAGGCGAGGGTTATGGAAAGGAATATTCCCTGGATGTCTCTCTAGGAGTTTTTTTATGACCTCAGAGGCCCCCACAGCTCCTTGGAGACCAGGCTCACAGGAGTTTAAGCAATGGGCCCGGCCAATTTGTATGTTGCAGGAGACATCTTTGGCAAGAGGGTTCAGACTGGCTGTATCGGCTTTGTCTTGAGCCTGGAAGGGGTCCAGCACAGGCACCAGTTCATCAGGAGCCAATTTTCTAGGTTCATGAGAAGGTTTTTCCTTCTTCACACAATTCTTCACTGGAACTCTGGAAGCCTTCTGGAGTAATTTTTTCCTGTTAGCAGTTTGGTCTCTCTCTCCACCTTTTGGCTGGTGGTTTATAGGGGCAGCCTTTGGAATCACATTGAGACAGGAGCGCGTTGGAGTCCCGGTCGCATCCTCAGAGCTCATTTCATCTTCAGCCTGAGATTTTAACTCCTTGACAACAGGAAAAAGACACAAAACCTGACATGTCCCCTTCTGTAAAGTACCTTGTAGAATTTGTAATTTAGTGCCCCAGACCGGGATAGTCTTACCAGAAAGTTGCAGGAAAGTTCCAAACACATTGCCCGGTACTGTTCAAGCTCTGACTCTGGTCGATCAAGCTCTGGTTTGGACATCAGCTTCTCAACATCCGTCTCTAAATCATCATCCTTTCAAAATAAGAGACAGGAAGGAAGTCGCAGAAAGAACCCCCAAATCCTATAGAAGCCTGCCCTGTAATGTGAGGTTGTTCTCTGATCAATGGGAATGGGCTTCGTCTAAAGCAACAGGGGTCCCCAATGCCATTGACCCCTTGGGTGGTGGGCCCATATGCACTACTGAGAAGAAGACTAGGTGCCACCACAAATTGGCTGCCACAAGGTTGCCAACTCTAGGTTGGTTAATTCCTGGAGATTTGGGGGTGAAGACTAAGAAGAGTTGGGTTTGGAAGGGGGGGGGGGAACTGAGCAGGGTATAATGCCATACAATCCACTTCCAAAGCAGCCATTTCCTCCGGGAGAATTAATCTCTGTAGACAGGAGATCAGCTGTCATTCCAGCAGACCTCCAGGCCCTACCTGGGGGGTGGCAACCCTAACAGGGAACGGTCACAAAATGGCTGCTGACACCAAACACAAATAAGTCCAGCATCCTCCACTGATGCTGTCTCTGAATGTGTAGTCCCTACAGACCCAAAGACAACGCCTCCTGGACTCTCCTGCTCCAAAGAGGCAGAGGAAAGTCAGGATGTTTGCTATCGGCACCATCTTGGGGCTCACTGCCACCCCCACCCCCTGACAGTGCACCAACTTGAAACTACCGTAGCAACTGGCAGGAGGGTTGTGGGCAGAGGCATGGGGAGGCCTGATGCCAGCTGTGGCAGTACATCATTTCCAGTAAAAATCTTGAAGGGATGCAGAGTACCTCTAGGAATCACCAGGTATGATAAGGTACGGTTTTACCATAGAGTTTCTGGAGATTCCTAGAGCTACCCCATGTCACTTCTGGGCTTGTTCCAGAAGTGATGTACACACACACACACACACACACACACACACGATGCTGCCGGGTTTAAAGAATTTCCCACTACTACTGCTTGAAGTGGTGGTGGGCAATGGGAGCTGAGGGCAGGATATCCGGCCAACCCCCACTGTGGGCTTCACAGCCCTCCCTGAAAAAGGCTACTTGAGGGACAACACACAAGCACAGCACCTTAGTGGCCCTTTCTAGCATCTGATCCCTGCTAAGTCGGTCATTGCAATACTATCCTCTGGCCATCTGCCTTGGTGTCACTATAGTGCAGCAGAGGAGTGGCAACAGCTCCCTCTACTGGCAAGTAATTGCAGTGGCACAGAGAACATGCCCTCTCAAGCTTTCCGACAGGGATACCAGCTTTCTACCCACATGACTTCTTCCTACATGTTACTTGCATTTCCACACTTCTAACTGTTTGATGAATCTGGCTTCAGCATTTTCTTGGTTTTTAAATAAAACTTTTGGGTTGGCAGTTGTTTGCAGAGAGAGAATAAGCAGGGTCCTCTCCAAAACTGCCATAACCAAAGATCCCTAAGTATTAATGTCTGATCGATCCTCGTCCCGTGGAGGAGTTAAGCATCCGTGCCTAGGGGTTTGGCTAAAACAAGAAAGGCTATCTCAGTATCACCCAGAATCCCAAACAAAGCTTACTTCCTCCTTGACTTCTACTTCCTCGTGATTTAAGTCCTTCTCGACCTCCTCTCCATCTTCTTCACAACCATCTGAAATGAACAAATGAAAGATCAAGAGACTGTCTAAAAACCCGTATGAGAGCCCATGCAGATGATCCAATGACCCGTCATCTGGGTCTTCTCCTGCAGGCTAGCTTGAGCTCTTCTGATCTCAGAAACTAAACAGGGTCAGCCCCGAGCTGGATAGCTCAAGCAAGCCCTTCTTGGATATCGAAAGCTGAGCAGGACCAACTCTGGCAAGTGATTGGAAGGGAGACCTCCTTGGAATTACAGGGTTCTGTGTGTGGAGGCAGGCTATCAGGCCACCTCTCTGAAAACATCCTAGCCCCACTAGGGGTCACCAGAAATGGCCATGACTTCCAGGCATGCAAGCACACACACAAATACCCACCAAAAAGAAGAAGCTACACAGGGTCAGCCCTGGCCAATATTTGGAAGGGAGACCATCAAGGAATACCAGGATTGTGATACGGAGGCAGGCAGTGGTAAACTACCTCTAAAAATCTCTTGCCCTGAAAACCCCACAGGGTCGCCACAAGTTGGCTGTCGCTTGATGGCCCCCCAAAAATAAAAAAGACAAAAAGAATTTCACCACAGGCTAAAGGTGGTGGAATGGTCACCTCCAATGTTACCTATAAGCTGTGGAGTCTTGTGAGCAAAACTTCTACTTTGTGAGCTACTGGCTTTAAAGTTGTGAGCAAGCGATTTAGCTACTGCATAAATTAGTTTGCTCTGGAGCCCTCCTTCCTGAGCTGAGACAAAAATGTGTGAGCCAGTGGCTAAAAAACTGTGAGCTAGCTCACACTAACTCAGCTTAGAGGGAACACTGGTCACCTCTAAGCTATTTCCCAACGTACTGCAGCTCACATTTTAAAGACATTCTTGATTTTTAGGGTCTCCCCAAAACCAGTATCATCAGCATGGTGGGCAGAAGGCAACTTTGGAGCCCCTCGATTGCTACTGAAGTGAAAAGCAAAACCTAAAACGGAAAACTGGAGAACTCTGAGGTCCTTTAAACATTGCCTTAGCTACAGGGGTGGGGCCACAGCTCAGTGAGTAGAGCATCTGATTGGCATGCAGAAGGTCCCAGGTTCAACCCTGGCATCTCCAGGTAAAGCGTCTGGCAGTAGGTAATGTAAACATCTTCTGCAGAAGAACCCAGAGAGCCACAGCCAGTCTGAGTAGACAGTAGTGACTATGTGTTCATGTGTACAGGGGATCCTTTGTTTAAAACGAGATACTGGAGTGATGCTTCAATCCACCAACCCTGTGAGTGGAGGTTGGCCACTGAAGCCCTGATTACAGTTATTGCCCTGAAAACAGGACAGTACAACAAATACAGTGGGGAAAACGTGTGCATGCTCATACATCTCAGTTGTTTAAATGCTCTTCTGGGTATTTATTTAAAATATCTTTTTCCTCTCACTCTTTAAGCTAGGAAAAAACTTAAGGCTGCTAGTAACCACGAGTAAAAATACAAACACAAAAATACAAATATCTGCTCTGAGCAGCAGTAGCATAGGCGGCCTAAAACGTCTGAGCAACACAACGTTGTCCGTTCAACAAAGACTGACCTTTACAGTGCAATCCTAAACAGGTCTGTGCAGTTCTGTTCAGTGGCACCTACTGAAGGGACCGGATTCTTAGGATGGCACTGATAAGCATTAGGAGTCACAGACGCAGCCTTTTTGCCAGTGGGCTACTCCCAGGGCCGGCCCTATCATTAGGCCTGCTAGTATCTCGCCTAGGGCGGAGATACTAGCAGGGTACCAATTCCCCTGCCACCCCTCCTGCCAAAGGCCCCCACCCTGCCCAAAGCTGCCTGCTGCGGCTTACTCCGCTGCCGCAGCGCGGCAGCAGAGCACATGCCACTCTGCGCCAGCCGCTGTGCACCCGTGCCAGCTCCCGAGGAGCGCTCAGTCGATTGCCCGGAAGGGGGTGTGGAGCATCCGGAGCCCGCCCGCCCCCTTCCCATGTGCAAAAGCACCCCGTGTGCAGCAAGTCGAAGCGGGCAGGGATGGGGCCGCTTGTGGGGCTCGCTGGCGCTGGTGACTGAGCCGGCTGAGTTGGAACTCTTCTTCTGCCGCTGCCCCTTCCAGGGCGGCTTCGCCCTCGCCGCTGGCCTGAGCGAGTGCCTAGCCTTCCTGTGCACCTTCCACTTCTCCGAGGCAGGTAAGTGGTGGCGTGGAGAGAGGAAATGCACTCTGCATGCACGCAGAGGCTGGTTTGCCCTGGTGCGACTGTGCTGGGGGAGGGAGCATCCCATGAGGGTTGGGGGAGGGTTTTTGGAGGCCCAGGTCAACTCCCCTGCTCCCAGTGGGCAGGTCCCTGCGGAGGGAGGGAGGGAGGGAGGCTCGCCCCTGCCTGGCCTGCCCAGCACCATTGGCGGCGCCCACTGCCAATCCCCACCGCCGCCGAGCCGCTTCCTGGCCGGGGACCGCAGGAAGGGCTTGGGCCAAGCAGCGGTTCTGGCTCAGAAAGGCCCCCTGGGCAGGCGGGCAGGAGGCGGCAGCAGGGAACGGAGCCCTCTCTTGGCCGGCCCTGCTGCTGGGACCCAGCTGGGAGGTCTGCAAGCCCCACCGGGAGGTTGGCATCTGAGGGGGGCGCCACGAGGCAGCCTGGCCTAGGGCACAGAAACCCCTGGGGCCAGCCCTGGCTACTCCACCTTCTGGCAACTAAGCCCCCCCAGCACCACCACCACTCTGCCACCCCCAGCTCTCTGGCTGACCAAACAGCCTCTCCAGCTCCAAAAGCAAAAGCTTGGATGCACATTACTCCCATGAGTAGCCATCCGTATCCTTACAGTGGAGCGATTTATCCTCTGGCCTGTGTTGCGAAGGTCCAATTCTGGTCCTGCCGGGAATGGGGAAGAAATAGGGGCTGCTCAGAGTGGCTGCAGGAAGAGGCATTTTGGGGTAGGTTTTCCTCAGGATCTGAGTCACTGTGTTTACGATTGGATCCAGGCTCTTGCTGCTCAGACAGTCCTAAAGACAAGGAAAGAACAGACGCTGTCATCTTGCAAAAGCAATGATCGGGCAGTTCTAAGCAAAATTAGACCCTTCCGAAACCCCAGCCTGACCTGGGTGGCCCAGGCCAGCCCAATCTCACCAGATCTCGGGAGCTAAGCAGGGTCAGCCCTGGTGAGTACTTGGATGGGAGACCACCAAGGAAGTCCAGGGGTGCGATGCAAGAGGCAGGCAAGGGCAAACCACCTCTGAATATCTGCTGCCTTAAAAAAAATACCCTGAGTGGTTATCATAAGTCAGCTGTGACTTGATAGCAAAAAAAAAAAAATTTAATCCATTGAAGTCAGTGGGCTTGGAAGGATGTAATTCTACTTAGGACAGGCTCTCAGTTATTCCCAAAGAGGGCTATTTTTGGGCAGGAACGCACAGGAACGGAGTTCCGGCTGGCTCCTGAGTTGGCCACGCCCAGCAGGAACTCATTAGCATAATAGGCCACGCCCAATAGCAGGAACTCATTAGGATTGGCTACATTCCAGGTGTGTGGCCTAACATGCAAAGGAGTTCCTGCTACAAAAAAAGGCCCTGGGTTTTGACAACAAACAAGGTCAACAGAATAAGAAGCAAAAGGTGGGTGTGGCTGGATGACCACACTTCTGGTAACATGGGGGTGTGGCCTAATGTGCTAATGAGCTGTGCTGTCAGGGGTGTGGCCCAATATGCTAATGAGTTCCTGCTGTTGGGTGTGGCCTGTTATGCTAATGAGTTCCTGCTGGGCTTTTTCTACAAAAAGAACCCTGCCAAATATGTTTTTAATTATCAATGAGAAAGATGGAAGCTAGGAGCAGAGGATTCTGGGCTCAAGGTTTGCTCTCTTATTCAGTCTCAAGCTGTAAAAGGCAGGAAGACAGTAGGTCATGTACCAGAGGTGGGGGAGCCCATAAATGACATGGTGGACTCAATTTGAAAATCGTTATCTTTTAAAAACCCATGATGTGTCCTCCTTCTCTTTTTCCTTTCCTTTCCTCCGTAATCTGTTTTTTCTTTAACTACAGCTGTAAGCTTACAGACTGAGCCTGTTTCCTTTATATATGAAAAGGGTAAAGGTAAAGGTTTCCCTTGCTCAAAAGCCAGTCGAATCTGACTCTAGGGGGCGGTGCTCATCTCCGTTTCTAAGCCGAAGTGCCAGCGCTGTCCGAAGACTTCTCCATGGTCATGCGGCCAGCATGACTAAACGTCGAGGCGCACAGAAGGCTGTTACCTTCCCACCAAAGAGGTGCCTATTTCTCTACTTGCAATTTCTTGTTTTTGAACTGCTAGGTCAGCAGGAGCTGGGGCCAGAGACAGGAGCTCACTCCGTCACACTGCACTAGGGTCTCGAACTGCCGAGCTACAGGCCTTCCAGTCTGTAGCTCAGCATCTTAACCTCTGAGCTACCGCAGCCCCAAAACTAGTCACTCATAAAGTTGACATACAGGCAGACCAAGGATAGATAAATGGAGGAATCCCTTTACCCAAGGTGTGGTTAACTTGTGGAGTTCTCTGCCGTGAGAGAGGTAGCGAAGCTCGCTACTTCAAGTGGCTTCCAAAGGCTATCATGAAAAACACATTCAGGCTGCGGTCACACAAACTAAATAATCCACTTTCAGTGCACTTTTCAACTGGATTTTTTTCTGTGTGCGCTGGCAAAATCTAGCTGAAAGTGGATTGAACGTGGATTATTTAGTGTGTGTCACCACAGCCTCAGAGGTCCAACAACAGCTATTAGCAATGAGGTCTCGGTGGGACTTTCATGTTCAGAGGCAGTGTGCGCCAGTGGGTAGGGAGGAGAGAAGCAAGGGGCGAAGGCTGAAGAACATAAGGATGAAGAATTTAAAAGGGAGATGGACAAGTTCATGGAGGATGGGGCTATCAATGGCTAGTAGTCATGATGGATCTCTCTAGTACCAGAGGCAGCATGCCTCCTTAGAGAAGCTGCTGGGGAGCAGGGGTGGGAGGAGGCCATTGCAGTCAGGGCTATTTTTGGGCAGGAACGCACAGGAACAGAGTTCCGGCTGGCTCCCGAGTTGGCCTCACCCAGCAGGAACTCAATAGCATAATAGGCCACACCCAACAGCAGGAACTCATTGGGATTGGCTACATTAGGGGTGTGTGGCCTAACATGCAAAGGAGTTCCTGCTACAAAAAAAGGCCCTGGGTTTTGACAACAAACAAGGTCAACAGAATAAGAAGCAAAAGGTGGGTGTGGCTGGATGACCACACTTCTGGTAACATGGGGGTGCGTCCTAATGTGCTAATGAGCTGTGCTGGCAGGGGCGTGGCCCAATATGCTAATGAGTTTCTGGTGTTGGGTGTGGCCTATTATGCTAATGAGTTCCTGCTGGGCTTTTTTTTACAAAACGAGCCCTGATTGCAGTCATCCTGCTGGTGGGCTTCCTAGGGGCCACGGGTGGGCCACTGTGTGACACAGTGCTGGACTTGATGGTCCTTTGGCCTGATCCAGAATGGCTCTTCTTATGTTCTTGTTAATAACAGTATCCCGGATGTTTTAGAGTTGGTCTTCCTTTAGGATTAGGGGTGCCTTTGTATATTAAACGAAAGCAACAGGTGAGCTACACATTTGAGTGTGTGTTGGATGTGATAAGAAGACTTACACATTCGGCGCATACCTGATTTATCTAAAGTCTCAAAATACAGCTGCATCCAATAGATTGGTTGTCATCTAAGACTTAATCCCCAGAAACTACATCTTTCATTTCAGGCATTAGCTACAGATATTTCCTTGAAGAATTTGCCATTTTGGTGTTGCAAATTTTTTATGAGCTTGGGTTAGTGAGCAGAATTCCTTTGAGAATCAGCATAATGCCTCTCTTTCCCAAATAAGATTCTCCCCCAGTCTCCTAGGATAAGGACTCGG